GGCAATTAACTAGAATAGTTAACACTGTACTAACTGTAGTTAATAATTATCATTAATTACAAGTATTTATCACAAACTGTAGTTAACACTGTACTAACTGTAGTTAAGAATAATTACTTAATAATATAATAGTATATAATAGTTATATATAGTTATCCCATTAGTAATGATTGCCAATTAATAATTATAATAGTTAAGAATTAGTTATCCCATTACGTTAATAAAAAATTATTATAGTTAATAATGATAACTATTATTAGTTATCCCATTGGCAATTTCCCGTTACGTCTTTTTGTTTCCCCTTCGCAAGCGATCCGACCGTTCCGCGCCTTCTCCAAGACGCTCTGGACGAAGCTGTCGGACTTCACCAAGCTCGTCGCCAACCAATTCACCACCTGAGCGCAGGTCCGCCATCTAAAGCCATGATACTTGAATCATAGAGTGGGCATAACACACACACATATATATATATATACACATAGAAATTAGATACAGATATAGATATTAGATATTAGATATAGATATATCGTGAACTTAAACGCATGAACATATCAAAATACCGTAACCATGTGGAAATGGGGATGGATGGATATCTATATACATATATGATCATATATGGACATGTCATCACATGTCAAAAAAATCAACAGGACAAGGACAGCGTCGATGAGCCAAGTCAGGATTTGGTAATGAGGTCGATCATATCTGACTTGAAAATCGAAAGACATCGCCGGCGTTGCAGCAAGTGCCAGCGACATATGGTAATTTACCCTCTGGTAGTCATTTACAGTTTACAATGTAAAATCAATATGTTTACCTTACTGGTGCTTAGCAGGGAATGAGGGAATGATCCAAAATCACTAGTAATAATCATCCCATTCCCCCATTCCCATCCATTCCCTACTAAGCACCAGTAAGTTACGATAGGAAAAACAAGCAGCCCCATATTTATGAACAGATCCAATCCTAACCTGTTTCAAAGGGGGCATTGAATATTAGGGGGGACTGAAAACGAAATGGAAAAATCTCCCAAAATATGCAGGATAGGAACAAATGGGGAAATGATGAAATATATACGTAAATAATCGTAAATAGCCAAAATTTGGAAACCTACAGGAAAACTCCCCAAGTTTTATGGTTGATTGAGCGGATTCGCTGCTCACGGATGACAGCACAGGAAACACCAAAAAGATAGAAACACAATTTAAAATTGTTAGTGAGATTGGACGTGCCCACTTGTTTACAGTTACTATAGGAAATGATTAAAAAGGGTGCAAATAAAAGAGGCAAACGAAATAGAATAGAAACTCCAATATTTGGTTAGTTCTTCTCCCACACACACATACTGTATATATATATATGTATATGTGATTATATGTGTGTGTGTGTGTCCGCATATGTTGTTGCTAGTACCCTCCGTTAGTCAAACCTGGCACTGAAAAATAAATGTAGATGATTTTCCGGTAAAAGCTCCATTGAGTGCGGGGATCTCCTCGCCATGTTTGCTTCCTGAAGATTTTCATTCCATGACTATCCTATCATTATAACCCATTCAATGAATATCGAAACGCCAGAAGTTTGTTAATTATTTACCATATATGTTATGCATATATCATATATCCTATACACATATCCTACTGGTAAACTAACATAGCTATGATCTGGAAACCATCACTCTTAAAAGGTAAATCATCCCATTGTCAATAGCTATCTTAGTTTACTGGGCATATTCCATTCATCACCATTCCTTTCACATATTTTGACCATAAATTGACAATTAACCAAATTAATAACCAATATTAACCATTATTAACCATAAATTGACCATTATATAACCATCATTAACCATCATAAGACATCATTAACATTCATTAACCATTATGAACCATCATTTTGGTCAATGTTAACCATTATTAACCATTATATAACCATTATTGCCCTCTGGTAATTTAACATAGCTATTGAAAATGGCCATAGAAATAGTGGATTTATCCATTGAAAATGGTGGATCTGTCCATCGTTTTTTGTAGGTTTACCAGAGGGTAACCGGGATATATCTATCATTAACCATCATAAAACATCATTAACATTCATTAACCATTATTAAGGGTTATTAATTAACCATCATTATGGTCAATGTTAACCATCATTAACCATTACCATCTGGCTATGACTAACATAGCCATGGAAAATCCACCCATTTTTAATAGGTAAACAATCTATTTCTATGGGCCATCTATACCATGGCGAACTGTTAAATAACCAGAGGGTATATAACCATCATTAACCATCATAAAACATCATTAACATTCATCAACCGTGATTAATCATCATTTTGGTCAATGTTAACCATCATTAACCATGATATAACCATTATTACCCTCTGGTAATTTAACATAGCTATTAAAAATGGCCATAGAAATAGTGGAATTATCCATTGAAAATGGTGGATGTTAACCATCATTAACCATGATATATTATTACCCTCTGGTAATTTAACATAGCTATTGAAAATGGCCCAGTCGAAATGGTGGAATTATCCATTGAAAATGGTGGATGTTAACCATCATTAACCATGATATATTATTACCCTCTGGTAATTTAACATAGCTATTGAAAATGTCCCAGTCGAAATAGTGGAATTATCCATTGAAAATGGTGGATGTTAACCATCATTAACCATGATATAACCACTATTACCCTCTGGTAATTTAACATAGCTACGGTAACTACAGTTAAATATACGGACTTTTAAACATACGAACAGGTATTTAAGACTACCTCTGGGAAGGTTTTTCTTGGCCCGCCCGGCCATTTAAACATACGGAATCCAAGTCATTTAAACATACCGTGACTACATTTAAATATACGAACTGGTATTTCATACTACCTCCGTGGCCTCGCGGTCTGGCCCGCCCTCCACATATTTAAATGTCGTTGCCGTATTGAAAATGGCCATAGAAATAGTGGATTTATCCATTGAAAATGGTGGATCTTAACCATCGTTTTTCGTAGGTTTACCAGAGGGTAACCGGGATATATCTATCATTAACCATCATAAAACATCATTAACATTCATTAACCATGATATAACCATGATATAGCCATGATATAACTATGATATAACCGGGATATTCTGGCCATCCCTGAGATCTGAGAGATCTGAGTTATCCCGGACCGTAAGAAGGTTGATGACCAGGAAGAAGATGTCCAGAATGGCCGCCACGCGCGCCACCAACACCTGGGTAACGGGAGAGACTTTGGGAGCACCTGGGGGTTTCATATTTCAATGGATTTGAATGAACCAGTATGATTTGAATGTATAATCCAACAGAAATAACCAGTTATGACTCATAAACAGACCATTTTTCTATAGATATTTCAATGGATTGGTTGGAAAAATTTAACCGGAAAGCCCCATATTTCATGGGAAAATCGATGGTTTCCGGTTCAGATTTTCCCTTAAACCAATCCATTGATAATATGGTTTGATATGAATCAACGTGGGGTAATGTGGGTTAATATGAATTAATATAAGTTACTGTGGGCTAATGAGGTCAATATATGTGGGGTAATGGGGTATATAATACCTTGACGATCATCTCAATTAACTTACTTCAGCTCGGAAAAAGGTGCAGATCTGTCCAAGAAACATGGAGATTTTTCCCATGGAATGGGATACTGTTGATAAAGTTGATATCATTTACTGAGATTTGAGGTGATATTAATAATGGGCTAGTCACAAAGATTTTAGGTATATATCAGTTTTATTGGAACGCTGCAAGCCCTTGGGAGTTTAGTATGGGACACACCAACTACAGTGGGATATACCAAGAACCATCTTGGGAGAGTATAGGAGGTTTAGAGTATAGGAGGTTTAGTCCAAGATGGAATGAGATATGATTTATTGCTTACGGGGATTTATTGGACGGTCACAACCATCTTGGGGCGATGCGTGGGGATAGAAAGGTGGGAGGTGGGGGAACAGCTCTTAATCCCCAAAAAATATCATACTTATTTTAATATATTTTAATGGCGGCCATCATGGGCTACGTACTGCAAATCAACCTTCTTAGAAATCAAGATCAACCATCAAGATATCATTGCCCATCCCCTGATACTAAGTACCCCACATGTGGGACCCAAAGAAACAAATAAAATACTAAAGTTGGGGTTCAAGCGAGGTCTGAATGTCGGGGGAGGGGGATTATAGTTCCAAAAGAATCGAAGGTGGTAGGATGTGCTATGCGTAAAGGAGGGTCAGAGTCAACATGATGAAAATATCGATTATAAAGTCGGTACACAGTATTGAACTAGAATTGAGCCAATGTAATGCCCACTCCCGGATGAATATGAATAAACGCATATAAACGCTGGTTGATTAGGGGTACCACCAAGACAGCGAAAAATCTGGATGAATCCACGGTACTGAAATGGGAGCCCCCTCATGATCAACAGCCAGCTTAGCAAAATCTGGGCCAATCACCAGCTGTACAACTCATCGGATCCAACCGGGGCCAACTCTCTTGGCTTCATTAAGAAACAGAGTTTCCCAGTGAGTGGTTGCCTCACTGAAGATAAGCTGGTCATTGTGGATGGTCCCCAAGAAAAGGGGCAATAAATGGAAATAAGACACTAGCACACCAAGCAGTCTTGCACTTAAGCCTTCAAATGTCAGAGATGAAGTCATGCTCAAGTCTTGTTCCATGCAACTTCTCCCCTTCCAGCCCTTCATGGTGTCGCAGCCCACCATGACTTCTTAACCTCAGAAAGGGCAAAGTGGCAAGGCAAAGATATGTCTTCTTCTGACGCAGGGTTTTTCAGCAAAAACACGAGTCAAACGTGATCCTGATCCGGGTAGGATTCAAAGCAAATAGACATCGAACACACAGCATTTCCAACCACTATCCAGTCTTCCTACATGCTCCTTGCGTGCCTTACATCTCCTTGCTCTTCCTTCCACCAAAAAGGACGCAAAAGCATGCAAAAGCAACAAAACCTTTTCACAGAGACAGCACGAAATCATAGTCGACGGATGTCGACGAGATCACTTCTAGCTCTGCTGATTCTGCTGGAACAGTTTGACAGTTTGACTCGCTGGCAAGGCGACTCTTCTGTGCTGAATCGCCAAGCTCAACTAGCCACTGAAACTGTGCAAATCAAACCGCTCAGTGCTAAAAGGGTGCATTTGGGACTGTGATTATCACAATCCTTGCTACCTCCGAAAGTTGGGAGACCCCTGGGACCCCTTAGTTTCTGCAGTCAAAGGAGCCACGTTTGGGGGGCACCCCGGTGTCCGGACATAGTCGTCTTGCAAATGAATTAAGTTGGACGGAGTCATAACCAACAAAAATTCTCTGATGATGGTTTTGAACCTCATCAGAAACTTCAAGCAACTTTGCACAGTTGCAGGACTTGCCCCAGCCCTGTTACATCATCCAGAAGCGTCGACAGCGGTTCATCTTCATGCCAAGCCTCAACAGTATTGTCACGTTCATTGGACTGCAGAAAGTGTCTGAATCTCAAAAAGCTGATCTCCAGCGGATTACGTCCAAACCTTGGAGGTCGCAAAGGTTTCAAGACCAACTCATGGCGTTGAATGAGCCCGGCAAAATGCTGCTGCCACAGTTGGTCAAGGACATCCCCAATGGTGACTTCGCTCAACTCTGGTTGTTGCGCGCCTTGGATTTGCGTAATAAGGAACCGCCCAAAGATCAGAAACAGATTCCCTATAGAATCCTATATCCCCTGGTAAACTAACAGTTTGCTATTGAAAATTGTGATTTTTTTGTTGATTTACCCATTTAAAATGGTGATTTTCCATGGTTTTTTGTATATATGTTTACCAGAGGGTACCCTAAATACTGGATTTTCCCATTGGGAAAATAAACCATCACCTTAAACACGCCTAGGGCACTCACCGGAATGCGAAGGTCATAGTTGCGAGGGTACCGGTACCGCAAGGTGTGCGGAGTGGTCGTCCTGTCGATATTGGGACCTCCATAGTCTCCTTCAAAGGGGACGGGTCAAAACATGTCAACAACCATTCAAAACCTGTGATGGGTAAATTTATATTTCACTAACCTGAATTAAGGCCATTTGGGGATGATTTCCTTTATTAACCATGATTCCCAGTGAGGTCGCAGTGAGGTCGTTATAATTTCCCCAGAAACATGTCAACAACCATTCAAAACCTGTGATATCCTCTGGAATTTTTCACGGGGCTGGCTGGAACATACCCTGTTCATGGTGGTTTTAATGGATTTTAAAACTTCCTCTGTTGATGGGAGATTGTCCATTGCCACATTTGATTACCGGAAGGTACCACATTTGTGCGGATGAAGATTCAGTACCATTTTTTTTTGGTGCGAAGAAATGGTGTTGGTCCAGTGAACCGTGGATTAACAAACCCCGGTTGGTTGAAGAGGGGTTTGTACCCTCAAATAGTGATAATCTGCATTGAAGAAATGGCATCAATGAACCATCCCAAAGGGTAGTCCGCTGTCCACGTTAGCCATGACTATGTCTCCTCCATCAATAATGCGAAGTGGAAAGCCCAGTGTCGACCACAGGCGATCCTTCACCATGCTTTCAAGTTCGAAGATTCCGCTGGCATTGTAGTCCCTGTCACGGTTTCAGGGCTCAAAAGCAAGGCCAAAAATTAAATCATGCTATTCTAGTAGAAGGGTTCAAATATTTAGCCTCGATATGCCTTGATCTCAAACAATGAATGAAACATGACTAACACGATTTAACCCACCTGAACCCTTGCCTGTACATGCCACCTTTCAAGACTTTGCGCCATTCCTCATCGGTGAAGCGAAGAGGGGAAGGGAGTGCTTTGCAGTAGAGCGACTCACAAAATGCCTGGTCCAGAAGACAGTTGATTCCGTTTAGACAGTGCCATCCATGATGAAGCGCCAACTGCTGAATGGCACAAGTTCGCTCGAGACTTGTAAGATCTCTTCCCTCGAGGTTCGTCTGCGCGGCTGTTTCGGTCATTCGGGAGCAAGGAGCAAGGGATGATGAAAACAAATCGGTCAAATGCCTTCTTGAGCCCAACCAGTTCTGTGGAAACTAGCTTTTTTTTAGCACAAAATGTCTAAGGAAAACAGATGCAACACTGCAGAGAGACTGTTTTCTTCCACCATGGTTGTTACATGTTTGCCCATCAATCCTCAACACCAAGACTGGAGATCGTCAACCCCCCAAAAGGGGACGGTTATTGTCTCACATTGGGGTCCCAAAAACACTTCAGAAGCGTAGAGAATCACACAACTTATTCAGTCATCAGCTTAAACAAAACACGCCCAGCGGCCACAAATATCCACAAATATCTTGTAACACATCTTCAACCGAATTCTGTCAAAGTGGATCAGCAAACTCAAAGTGCTGACAAACTATGCAGAAAATATCACCCGACATCCATGTTTGGTAATTCACCTGCAGTACAAAATCGAACATTTCCACTGTACCAGTATCCTCATGTTTTTCCCAAGATTGTCCCATGATTTTCCCATATTTTCCCTATGAAATTGGCCATTTTGGGCATATCTTCTGCCAGGAACACTCTGAGTCTCCCAGCGTCAACTCGATGATGTTCGATCGGAGGCCACGGTTGCGGTTGGGCTGTTGGGTGACCCATGGACAGTTCAAGCGGGTTTTTTTTTGACCATCCATGTTGGAGGGAAATGCCCTACTAGATGCAACAAAAAATGTAGTTATATATATATGTGTGTGTGTTATATGTAGGTATCATATTATACCCTCTGGTAATTTGACATAGCTTTACAAATGTCCCATTTATGGTTGATTTACCAACTAAAGATGGTGATGTTCCATAGCAAACTGTTAGTTTACCGGAGGGTATTAATATATATAATTATATACATATATATATATATACATATGGTTGGAGGCTGTTGGTGGTTTCAACCCCACCGGCGTAGAACAGCATTTTTTTGATGATTACCTCCTGCAAACGTTTTCAGTTCGATGTGGACGTGTCCCACCATTTATGTAGATCCTTTTCCGACATGGAAACCATTGGTGTTCCACATCTTTGTTCATTTACTAGGGGAATTCTCCAATAATCCGTACTTAATATCTGTAATATCCAATAGTTATCCAATAATAAATATCCAATTATTACTTATCAATCATCCCTATATTTTGATGTACTGCCCTATGGTTGTTTAACATAGCTATGGAAGATTACCGTGTTGAATAGTAAAATCATCATAAATCCATATAAATCCCCTATTTTCATGGGCCATTGAACTACCATAGCTATGTAATAAATAACCAGAAGGTGCCCATCATTTCTGGTGGCAACTCCCTATATTAAACAAATTGGTAAATCTTCAATATTAAGGGTAATTCAACCCTATCGTGCTTGAGCTATAGTAACCAATTACGAATTGGTAAGTTCATGGTAATTTTACATTACCAATATTATAATATTGGTAATGTGAACAAATTGATCCTTGTTCTGGATTATCCCCTTTGTCTGTAGTACCAGTAATGCTGATAGCGCCGGGCAATCTCAGTGCATGGCATGCGGACAGCGTTCTTATTTTCCTCGCGCAGGACTTGAGCCAGTACGGCGTTCCAATGCACAATCACATATGTACATGATAAGTGTCCTAGCGTTTAGTTCCCTTTGACACCCCCCATGCCCGTGGCATTCTTCGAGCCACGGACACGAGAGAGGGAACTTTGAATTAGATTTGTTCTGCTACTTGAATTACGCCTATTTACATAAAACGTGCCATTCGGATCCCCCTTCCCCACATACCCGTCGGGTATAATGGTTCAGGGTTCACCTACTCTTTGGCTGTCGATGCATCGGCGCTTCATCAAGCTGTACAACGCGAATTATTGCTAGCTAACATCTACTTTTCTACGTTGGCTAAGCCCGCCACTCACCCGTCGGGAGAAATGGATCGCTTCGCTACCAAAGGTTTACAATGCTAACTAACGAATTCACGTGCACATTGCAGAATCTCGTGCAGATTGGGAATATCAAAAGTCTTGAACCTAAGCGAATTAGTCTAATGCCTCGCTCAGTGTCCACTCAGTTGGTCTTTTCCTGATCATCTGTTCATAAAGACGGTAAACATCTTGTAGCCCAGTGATCATTTTGACGGATCGAAGCAATTGGTTTACTGCTCACGGCGGACTTTCTTCCATTGAGGTGCTGTTGGAGTTCTCTCCCATCCTGCCGCACGTTTCGGAGCAGCTTTCGGCGATGAAGGCTTTGCAGGCGGTGCCTTTGATGGTTCATGGGATTTCGGCATAGCCTTGCCCTTTGGTGCACTAGCCGATGAGGATGATGCTGAACCAGTGCCTTCAGGTGTCTGTGAAGGTTGTGCAGGTGGTTTAGCAAACTTGGAAGCTGCAGTATGTCCAACCGCTTTGAATACTTCACTCACCACTTCGTCGCCAAGGGTTGGAGCCATCTTCGTTTTCATCTCGGTCTTTCCCCTCTGCGCCTCGGCCTCGGCCAGCTGAATAGCATAAGCCATCTTGCTGACAAAGTTTTGAGGTAAAGGAATGCCACATTGTTGGGCGGCAAAGAGCAGTTCTACTCTCTGTTCTTTCTCCCTCAGGCTCAGATATACCGAGAAAGCTGGGAGTTCGATGCAGTTGGGGAAGCCATGGCTCCCGGAGCGAAAGAAGGTGTATGACTCGTGCTCCGGAAAGGTTCCTTTGAGCAGTCGTCGAAGGAAGTTGCTGATGGTTACTCGCATCTCCTGTTTCCCTTGGGCATCAGCCTGCATTCGGTTCATTGGCATGAGAAAGCCTAATGACTCAGGAGTGTACCCAGCGCGTACCAGAAATTCCATCATCTTCTCATAGATCTCTAAAGTCTTGATGACAGGCATCATCATGTTTCTTGGTCGCCCTGAGTATAACTTCTCTCCTTCTGACCATGAATTCCTCTTCCCTTTCTGCTGAAAGAGTTCATCCAATTCCAGCTCCGTCGGTCGCTTGAGGTTGCCATCCTGGTCTTCTCCTGTATAAGGACAGAAGTCGTCCAGGTCCAGCCGGACTCGCTTGGTTTCCGTCATCATCTCATAGTACTCCTCTGGGGTCAGAGTGACTCTCTGTTTGTAGTAGAGCCTGAACATTGTGATGCTCTTTGACATGACGGCATTGTCATACAAGTGAGCCGCGGCCTCGGAGACATCATTGTTGATAAGTCCGTCTTCTGGCATACCCTTGCTGCCGCTCTCGAGGTTCTTGGTCCATGCTGGAAGTTTGGAAGAGGGGTCATCTTCAGGTTCGACTTCCATTTCATCGTCGTCTTCTTCAACGATTTCGTCGTCTTCCTGTTGGGCTTCCTCCTCCTGATCCATTTCCTCATCATCGCCTTCGTTGTAGTCGCCCTCGTCAGGATTGAAGCCATAGTCGTTGGATTCGGATACGTTTTCTTGTGCTTGATGGACCGTATCCTTGAACAACGATTCTTCTTGTCGACGAACTTCTTCATCGATCTCTTTCTTCGTGGCCTCATCTTCATCGTCTTCAGGAGCTTGTAGCCGATAGGGACGGATTCCACAACTTTCAAGTTCCGTCCAGCAAACTAGACACACTGCTAGTTTTGTCGGCGTCTCATTGAGACAGTGAGGACAATGGCGGCAACCTGATGTTTGCACCCTTTTGCGTTCGACTATGTAGTCAATCAGCTTGATGCGGGCCAGGTATTGCTCTTGTCCGCCAGGCTCGATGAGGTTGTTCTTGAATTGGTTGACGATGTTCATGGCATCCATGGCGGTTTCGTCAAACGGTTGATCTTCGGCGTCGATGCACTGACTTGCAACCCTCAAGATGGACTCCTTAGTGGCTACCGTTCTTGATTTGATAGTTCCAGACCGGACTACCTGGTCGTCGCCCGACGGGACGAACAACCGGAGCCATGTCTTATTGTTTTGGTCCTTTGGGTCCTGAATCCATCCTCCTTTGATTGCCGAGAACGGGATGATCTTTGGTGAGACGATCTGCCCCGAGTCAGTCAGTCGACCGCCATATTCCACCATCAAGGTCTCGGTCGGGACGAACAAGCAAATGTAGTCCCCTCTTCGCGTATCAACGCTCTTCGTGATGGTCCATGATCTGTGATCCCATGGCACATACGGGTTGAAGAACGTGAACATCCGATGACCTTCTCCAAGACCTCCTGGAATTAATCCCTGCCTCCAAATGCTTCGAAGGTTGGTCTTCTTGGTCATGTGGAAACAAACCGGTAACGACAAAATGGTGTTGGGTGCGATTGGATGTGAAAGTAATGAGGACAGCAATGAGACGTCGTCCCTTGAAGATCCTTCTTTGTGCCCCGTAGGAGCACGGACCGCCACAGGGTAGAGCAGTAGACCTTCATCAGGAATGTTCGTGTCCGCATCGACTTTGTTGTCAATGCATGTCAGGCTGGTGCGCTCAATGTCCTTGTTGATACCAAATGCCAAGACTTGTTCACGAACGCGACGTCCATACCGGGCACAGTGGAACATGATCTTGAAGAGCAATGTCATGCGGTAGTTTGCCTCATCGACATTCCATGCATTCTGATCATTTGCTCTTCCTTTTGGAGCAAGGAATACATGTGGCCAGCGTGCGTACTCGTGCCTCCAGATGGACTCACATTTGAGCACCTCCTCGATGGGCACCCAGCCGGCGTCATCACATGACAGACTCTGTTGTTCTGATACCTTCCCCACGTTGTGCCGCAGGATCCTGTTTAGTGATGAACTCACCTTGTCCTCGTAGGTATTGAGCCGGTTGCCAGTCTCGAAGCGGTAGTTGGCCGCATATTCTACACCTCCAAAGTAAGAGCAGTTGAAGAAATGGGCCCCCGTAGTCGGGATGATTTTCAAGAAACCATCTTGCGGCGCCTCGACTCTCTTGTAGAAGGGCTTCCTGATGTTGTTATCAGAGTAGCTTGCCATGAAGTCTGGCACTGACCAAGAGTCACCTCCTCCTCTGACAATAGCGTCTCTGACCACTTCGTTGAGGTCAACAATGTTCTGTGGTCCTAGCTTTGTAACATCACTTCCT